CAGACAGACGGACAGACAGACGGACAGACAGACGGACAGACGGACATGGCTATATCAACTCAGGAGGTGATCCTGATCAAGAATATATATACTTTATAGGGTCGGAGATGTCTCCTTCACTGCGTTGCACACTTTTGACCAAAATTATAATACCCTCTGCAAGGGTATAAATATAACTTTATCATATGTCAATACACTTAAGGACATAGTAATTTTTAGAAACTTCATAAATACAAGTTTGGTTTTATAAAAATCGGACTACTTTATCATAAAGCTGCAAATCATATATGTGGCAAATAAAATTAAAACGTAGTTTCGGAAAATAAACCCATATATTCCGAGATATAGTCATTATACCCTTGCAGAGGGTATTATAATTTTGGTCAAAAGTGTGCAACGCAGTGAAGGAGACATCTCCGACCCTATAAAGTATATATATTCTTGATCAGGATCACCTCCTGAGTTGATATAGCCTTGTCCGTCTGTCCGTCTGTCCGTCTGTCCGTCTGTCTGTCCGTCTGTCTGTCCGTCTGTCTGTTTCTACGCGAACTAGTCTCTCAGTTTTAAAGATATCGAATTGAAACTTTGCACACACCCTTCTTTCCTTTGCACGCAGTATATAAGTCGGAACGGCCGGGATCGGACGACTATATCCTATAGCTGTCATATAACTGAACGATCGGAAATGCCATAACTTTGGTGTTTGTTAAGTTAGGAAGTTGGGATTTTCTATGGGTTTTATTTTTAGCCAATCAATCCGACCTATCAAATTTCATAAGGATCGCCCGACTATATCCTATAGCTGCCATATAACTGAACGATTGGAAATGTCATAACTTTGGTGTTTTTAAAGTTAGGAAGTTGGGATTTTTGATGAGTATTAAGAATGCATCATATGAATAATTTTGGAGAATATAATTTACAGAGTATTCTGCAAGGGTATATCAACTTCGGCTCCGCCCGAAGTTAGCTTTCCTTTCTTGTTTTTAATGATTTCAGAATTACGGTTTTACTTTTACAAAAATCGGACGACTATATCATATAGCTGCTATAGGAATGATAGGAATCGAAATATAGAATATTAAATTTTTGTAACAATTTCAAGAGTATATTTGTGTAAAAAATACTAAAATTTATTTTTTTGAAAAATGTAAACCTTTTTTGGTTAAGAATGTTCTGCTATAAAAAGTACTTTAGTGTTTTAATATCAGTTAATTTGAAAGTTAAAGCAATTTAAACCAAGTTGTCCAATAAAGTTATAATTTACATGGGTCGGCATCCGTATATGAAACAACCCTAAAATAAAAGTATTTTTCTGCTTAAAAAAAGTGTTTTCTTTGAACGTACTAAATAGGAATTTATTAAAGATGATCAATAATCAAATAGCTTTTTTCATGCACAAGTAGGCTGAAAACGACTCCGCATTGGGGCCATAAAGTTCTTGTCTTGGTCGCTGCTGTTTCTATAGGTAATTTGAGAAAAACCATGCATATTAAATTTATGAATGTCCGAGTGGTCACATTTCTTGTAATTCAATAGCGATAAAAAGAGCACTTCATATTCTGTTTTTTTAGACACACCATATGGGGGGCCAACGTGACGCGACGTTAGGAACAATTGCATTGAAAGTATATTTAAGAAATTACACACATTACACTTGTTTACAAAAATAAATCGACCATTTACTCCAGAGATGAAAGTTTAGTTGTTTGGTGCTGCTGGGTTCCAATTTTATAGAACTTTTCCAACTTTTTAAACTTTTTATACCCTTGCAGAGGGTATTATAATTTTGGTCAAAAGTGTGCAACGCAGTGAAGGAGACATCTCCGACCCTATAAAGTATATATATTCTTGATCAGGATCACCTCCTGAGTTGATATAGCCATGTCCGTCTGTCCGTCTGTCCGTCTGTCCGTCTGTCTGTCCGTCTGTCTGTCCGTCTGTCTGTCCGTCTGTCTGTTTCTACGCGAACTAGTCTCTCAGTTTTAAAGATATCGAATTAAAACTTTGCACACACCCTTCTTTCCTTTGCACGCAGTATATAAGTCGGAACGGCCGGGATCGGCCGACTATATCCTATAGCTGCCATATAACTGATTGATCGGAAATGCCATAACTCTGCTGTTTGTTAAGTTAGGAAGTTGGAATTTTATATGGGTTTTATATTTGGCCAATCAATCCGACCTACCAAATTTCATAAAGATCGGCCGACTATATCCTATAGCTGCCATATAACTGATTGATCGGAAATGCCATAACTTTGGTGTTTGTGAAGTTAGGAAGTTGGGATTTTCTATGGGTGTTATATTTGGCCTATCAATCCGAACTACCAAATTTCATAAGGATCGGCCGACTATATCCTATAGCCACCATATAACTGATTGATCGGAAATGCCACAACTTTGGTTTTTGTTAAGTTAGGAAGTTGGGATTTTCTATGGGTTCTATTTTTAACCAATCAATCCAACCTATCAAATTTCATAAGGATCGGCCGACTATATCCTATAGCTGCCATATAACTGAACGATTGGAAATGCCATAACTTTGGTGTTTTTAAAGTTAGGAAGTTGGGATTTTTTATGAGTATTAAGATTGCATCATATGAATAATTTTGGAGAATATAATTTACAGAATATTCTGCAAGGGTATATCAACTTCGGCTCCGCCCGAAGTTAGCTTTTCTTTCTTGTTTTAATTATTTTTATACCCTTGCAGAGGGTATTATAATTTTGGTCAAAAGTGTGCAACGCGGGACAGGAGACATCTCCGACCCTATAAAGTATATATATTCTTGATCAGGATCACCTCCTGAGTTGATATAGCCATGTCCGTCTGTCCGTCTGTCCGTCTGTCTGTTTCTACGCAAACTAGTCTCTCAGTTTTAAAGCTATCGAGTTCAAACTTTGCACACACCCTTCGTTCCTTTGCACGCAGTATATATGTCAGAACGGCCGGGATCGGCCGACTATATCCTATAGCTGCCATATAACTGGTTGATCGGAAATGGCATAACTTTGGTGTTTGTAAAGTTAGGAAGTTGGGATTTTCTATGGGTTTTATTTTTATACCCTTGCAGAGGGTATTATAATTTTGGTCAAAAGTGTGCAACGCAGTGAAGGAGACATCTCCGACCCTATAAAGTATATATATTCTTGATCAGGATCACCTCCTGAGTTGATATAGCCATGTCCGTCTGTCCGTCTGTCCGTCTGTCCGTCTGTCCGTCTGTCCGTCTGTCTGTCCGTCTGTCTGTTTCTACGCGAACTAGTCTCTCAGTTTTAAAGATATCGAATTGAAACTTTGCACACACCCTTCTTTCCTTTGCACGCAGTATATAAGTCGGAACGGCCGGGATCGGCCGACTATATCCTATAGCTGCCATATAACTGAACGATCGGAAATGCCATAACTTTGGTGTTTGTAAAGTTAGGAAGTTGGGATTTTCTATGGGTTTTGAATTTGGCTAATCAATCCGACATGCCGAATTTCATAAGGATCGGCCGACTATATCCTATAGCTGCCATATAACTGATTGATCGGAAATGCCATAACTTTGGTGTTTGTAAAGTTAGAATGTTGGGATTTTCTATGGGTTTTATATTTGGCTAATCAATCCGACATGCCGAATTTCATAAGGATCGGCCGACTATATCCTATAGCTGCCATATAACTGATTGATCGGAAATGCCATAACTTTGGTGTTTGTAAAGTTAGGAAGTTGGCATTTTCTATGGGTGTTATATTTGGCCAGCCAATCCGACCTACCAAATTTCATAAGGATCGGCCGACTATATCCTATAGCTGCCATATAACTGAACGATTGGAAATGTCATAACTTTGGTGTTGTTAAAGTTAGGAAGTTGGGATTTTTTATGAGTATTAAGAATGCATCATATAAATAATTTTGGAGAATATAATTTACAGAGTATTCTGCAAGGGTATATCAACTTCGGCTCCGCCCGAAGTTAGCTTTCCTTTCTTGTTAGCCAATCAATCCGACCTACCAAACTTCATAAGGATCGGCTGACTATATTCTATAGCCGCCATATAACTGATTGATCGGAAATGCCATAACTTTGGTGTTTGTAAAATTAGGAAAATGGGATTTTCTATGTGTTTTATTTTTGGCCAACCGATCTGATTTTAGAGAATATAATTTATTCATTTTTTGGATTTTTGGTAACACTTTGAAGGCAAAAATAATCATAAAAAAAAACTCGACGTCACTACCTGCGGTTTTAGGTACAGAAATAGTGAGCAAAATTTCAAAACGATTCGTTCAATATATTTTGCAGGATCGGCTGCACCGACTTTGAAATTGCTACTCTTCAGGAGAGCGTTTTGAAGTTTTGGACACCCAAAAATCGCATACAAAACGAGCTAACTCACCTACGTTCAACTGCCTATAACTTCGGAAGTTTTACTCGGATCAATCTCAAATTTTAATGCAATATTCTTCAAATGTTGTTAACATTCCCGCCAAGCAACCCGGTTTAAATAAAAAACCGAATTGGAAACGTCTTTTCTATCGACCTGCCCATCACAATAAAATCATAAACAAGAAAGGAAAGCTAACTTCGGGCGGAGCCGACTTTGATATACACTTGTAGAATATTTTGTAAATTATATTCTCCAAAATTATTCATATGATGCTCTTAATACTCATAAAAAATCCCAACTTCTCAACTTTAAAAACACCAAAGTTATGGCATTCCAATCGTTCAGTTGGCAGCTATAGGATATTTGCGATACGTTTCGATTGAAGTATTACTCGTTCCGGTCTAAGCATCACGGCAGATTTTCTGTGCCTTTGTACTGTAGTCGACTTTGCACATTCTCCTGGGGTGCATCGTCCCAACGTTTACTGCCGTCCACAGTAATCTGTCTCGCTGCATAAAAACATAGGCTTGCCGAAACTAGCTTCCGTTATCGGCTTATTTCAATTTATGAAATGTTTTTATATTTACATTATACAATTCTTTTCATTATTTTCCTTTCAGAGGCGACATTAAGAAACGGCTCAGTAGACGCTTATTATTTGAACAAAATATCTTCACTATGAATTGAAATCGTTAAAAGAAGTGGTAAGTAAATCAAAAAACAGGATTTTTATACCCTTGCAGAGGGTATTATAATTTTGGTCAAAAGTGTGCAACGCAGTGAAGGAGACATCTCCGACCCTATAAAGTATATATATTCTTGATCAGGATCACCTCCTGAGTTGATATAGCCATGTCCGTCTGTCCGTCTGTCTGTTTCTACGCAAACTAGTCTCTCAGTTTTAAAGCTATCGAGTTCAAACTTTGCACACACCCTTCTTTCCTTTGCACGCAGTATATATGTCAGAACGGCCGGGATCGGCCGACTATATCCTATAGCTGCCATATAACTGATTGATCGGAAATGCCATAATTTTGGTGTTTGTTAAGTTAGGAAGTTGGGATTTTCTATGGGTTTTATTTTTGGACAATCAATCCGACCTATCAAATTTCAAAAGGATCGGCCGACTATATCCTATAGATGCCATATAACTGAACGATTGGAAATGCCATAACCTTGGTGTTTTTTTAAAGTTAGGAAGTTGGGATTTTTTATGAGTATTAAGAATGCATCATATGACTAATTTTGGAGAATATAATGTACATAATATTCTGCAAGAGTATATCAACTTCGGCTCCGCCCGAAGTTAGCTTTCCTTTCTTGTTTGTTTATTAAACAAAAAGTTGTGAGTGTACCTTAGAATTAGGTTTATTCTGCCCTTAATATTGTTTGCTAATCCGTAGTCTGGACGAATTCTGACCTTTTATGGAATTATTATTCTTGTTTTACTATGATAATAAAGATCAAGAAAAGTGTGTTTATTTTTGGTAGCAGCACCGCTTAATTTGATGCCCAAATTGCTTAAAACGCTTCAGCATGGAATTGTTTTTCTCGACCTCGGCAATCCTTGTCTCCACCATTCTGCACCAATTATTTATAAAAGTACACAGTTTTTTTCTATTTTAAAATAATTAGTTAGTTAGCTTATGTTGTTATGTGCATTATCTGATACTAACTGATATAAACTAGTTTTACCAGATAAAATCATCTTAAAATATTTAATATGTCAATCAGAGTCAGCTAAGAGATAGATGATGAAAGTATGAAAAATATGTGTATATTATTATTGTTTTTAGATTAGCACGCGCGAGGAGTCACTATCGAAAAGTTGTAGACCTAATTAAAGTTTGTTGGGGAATTCAAGAACAAATTCGGTACGTAACAAATTCAAAGCAATTTGGTTGAACAACATTTTTAGGGTCAAGCCAGGGTCGGCCATGTCATGGCCATCAAATCCTTCAGTGATTATTACACTTGTCGCACCCCATTGGGCTTAGCCACGACGTTATTGACTCACCCTGCAGATTACAGTGTTTTCAGAAGCCGTCAGCTCTCCGGTTTACCATCATCTGCACTGTTCTTATTATGTCAACATTTCCTCGGCTTTCACGTCGATGCAATGAAATTTTGTGGCTTATTATTCTGGCTGGTTTCCTCACCGTATTCTCACATTAATAACAAGAGCTTCTAAAGGGGGATGAAGTTTTTCCTAATACTATACTGATTTGCAGTCATCTAAGTGACTTCTTTAACAGAAATAAGGCTCACACGCATAGTGATTGTGTTGCTGTACTACACAAAGAAAAAATTGTATAATAAAATATTGTTTTTAAATAACATGCAAGTCTAAATAATGTGCAAGGGCGCCGACTATTTTATTTTACTTTTTCTCTACTGTACTTCATGTATATATTAAAATATTAAGACACATATTTAACAGAAAGTAAGTTTTAATTCCTTTTTATACCCTTGCAGAGGGTATTATAATTTTGGTCAAAAGTGTGCAACGCAGTGAAGGAGACATCTCCGACCCTATAAAGTATATATATTCTTGATCAGGATCACCTCCTGAGTTGATATAGCCATGTCCGTCTGTCCGTCTGTCTGTCCGTCTGTCTGTCCGTCTGTCTGTTTCTACGCAAACTAGTCTCTCAGTTTTAAAGATATCGAACTGAAACTTTGCACACACCCTTCTTTCCTTTGCACGCAGTATATATGTCGGAACGGCCGACTATATCCTATAGCTGCCATATAACTGATTGATCGGAAATGCCATAACTCTGCTGTTTGTTAAGTTAGGAAGTTGGGACTTTCTATGAGTTTTATATTTGGCCAATCAATCCGGCGTACCAAATTTTATAAGGATCGGCCGACTATATCCTATAGCTGCCATATAACTGATTGATCGGAAATGCCATAACTCTGCTGTTTGTTAAGTTAGAAAGTTGGGATTTTCTATGGGTTTTATTTTTGCCCAATCAATACGACATATCAATTTTCATAAGGATCAACCGACTATATCCTATAGCTGCCATATAACTGATTGATCGGAAATGAAATAACTTTGGTGTTTGTAAAGTTAGAAAGTTGGGATTTCCTATGGGTTTTATTTTTGGCCAATTAATCCGACCTACCAAATTTCATATGGATCGGCCGACTATATCCTGTAGCTGCCATATAACTGAACGATTGGAAATGCCATAACTTTGGTGTTTATACCCGTTACTCGTAGAGTAAAAGGGTATATTGTATTCGTGCAAAAGTATGTAACAGGTAGAAGGAAGCGTTTCCGACCCTATAAAGTATATATATTCTTGTTCAGGATCACTAGCCGAGTCGATCTAGCCATGTCCGTCTGTCCGTCTCTCCGTCTGTCCGTCTGTCTGTCTGTCCGTATGAACGCTGAGATCTCGGAAACTATAAAAGCTAGAAGATTGGCATTTTGCATGTAGATTTTAGGAGTTCCTACGCAGCGCAAGTTTGTTTCAAAATGGTGCCACGCCCCCTCTGACGCCCACAAGCCACAAGCTGTGGCCCCAGTTTTGATGCTATTATGAAAATTTTAATTGAAATGTATTTGTTTCGTCAATAAATATAATTAAACGCTTAAGCCTGGCTAGCGCCTACATTTTCGCCTTTCATGGCCCGTGGTACCAATGTCTTGGGGTAGATGGCGCAATACAATAGCGCATATTTATATTAAGTTGTTTAGCTGAGTAACGGGTATCTAATAGTCGGGGCACTCGACTATAGCTTTCTCTCTTGTTATACCCTTGCAGAGGGTATTATAATTTTGGTCAAAAGTGTGCAACGCAGTGAAGGAGACATCTCCGACCCTATAAAGTATATATATTCTTGATCAGGATCACCTCCTGAATTAATATAGCCATGTCCGTCTGTCCGTCTGTCTGTTTCTACGCAAACTAGTCTCTCAGTTTTAAAGCTATCGAGTTCAAACTTTGCACACACCCTTCTTTCCTTTGCACGCAGTATATATGTCGGAACGGCCGGGATCGGCCGACTATATCCTATAGCTGCCATATAACTGATTGATCGGAAATGCTATAACTTTGGTGTTTGTAAAGTTAGGAAGTTGGGATTTTCTATGGGTGTTATATTTGGCCAATTAATCCGACCTACCAAATTTCATAAGGATCGGCCGACTATATCCTATAGCTGCCATATAACTGATTGATCGGAAATGCTATAACTTTGGTGTTTGTAAAGTTAGAAAGTTGGGATTTTCTATGTGTTTTATATTTGGCCAATCAATCCGACCTACCAAATTTCATAAGGATCGGCCGACTATATCCTATAGCTACCATATAATTGAACGATTGGAAATGCCATAACTTTGGTGTTTTTAAAGTTAGAAAGTTGGTATTTTTTATGAGTATTACGAATGCATCATATGAATAATTTTGGAGAATATAATTTACAGAGTATTCTGCAAGGGTATATTAACTTCGGCTCCGCCCGAAGTTAGCTTTCCTTTCTTGTTTTAAAGTTAGGAAGGTGGGATTTTTTATGAGTATTAAGAATGCATCATATGAATAATTTTGGAGAATATAATTTGCAGAATATTCTGCAAGGGTATTTCAACTTCGGCTCCGCCCGAAGTTAGCTTTCCTTTCTTGTTTGTTTTTCTATCGTTCCTGTGTCAGTCATATGATATATTCATCTGTTTTTTACAAAATTTAAAACATATTTTTGAAACCGTAAACCATAACTGGATATATTTGTATATTTTTAAAAATTAAAAAAAACCTATTAAATATGACTGCGAATGCTGATTATCAATATATCATATATGTATCTGTACTTAGGAAATGTTTAGGAAATGTTGTCCCTACAACGTTGCAAGCTTTTGACTGATTCGAATATTGAATTCTATTTCTTTAATAGCTGGAAAGCGTAATTGTCAAAAATATATTTTTTACCTTCAGTAACAGACTCTAGACTTTCTTTCGAAATATAATAAATATATATTTATCCTTTAAGGGGGAGCCTGCTTTAAAAAATCGAATTTTTTTGTATAAATGTCTACCGAAACTATCCAAGAACAAGAAAGGAAAGCTAACTTCGGGCGGAGCCGAAGTTGATATACCCTTGCAGAATACTCTGTAAATTATATTCTCCAAAATTATTCATATGATGCATTCTTAATACTCATAAAAAATCCCAACTTCCTAACTTTAATAACACCAAAGTTATAGCATTTCCAATCGTTCAGTTATTTGGCAGCTATAAGATATAGTCGGCCGATCCTTATGAACTTTGGTAGGTCGGATTGATTGGCCAAAAATAAAACCCATAGAAAATCCCAACTTCCTAACTTAACAAACACCAAAGCTATGGTATTTCCGATCAATCAGTTATATGGCAGCTATAGGATATAGTCGGCCGATCCTTATGAAATTTGGTGGTTCGAATTGATTGGCCAAATATAAAACCGATAGAAAATCCCAGTTTTAAAGCTATCTGCTTGAAACTTTCCCAAAAGTTGTCTTTCTATTGCAGGTAGTATATAAGTCGGAACGAGCCGGATCAGGCGACTATATCTTATAGCTGCCATATAACTGAACGATCGGAAAAGCCATAACTTTGGTGTTTTTTAAGTTAGGATTTTCTATGGGTTTTATTTTTGGCTAATCAATCCGACCTACCGAATTTCATAAGGATCGGCCGACTATATCCTATAGCC